TGTGTTGATAAGGCAGGAAGAGAATGTTCTGCAGTCCTATGAGTAGGTCTCAGTCTTTAGTGAGCCTGTACCTCTGTGAACTTTACATATGTTCTTAGTCCCCAGCCTCCCCTTCAGTGGAACACAATGGCTGGAGGGGGCTGGAGTTGGGTATTCCCAGTCCCTCAGGTCAGCTAATTTCTGATGAAACTTGAGCAGATTAGACTCTGGTTAACTAGGTTCTCCTGTGGGCAAACCTTGTTAAGAACACAATGTTCCAGTGTATATCAAAATGGCTCTTTTTTCCCTCTCACTGCTGGAAGCACAAGGGAAATTTTTTCCATTGTTCATTGTGAGAACCTTGTTGAACACCTGTAGGTAAAACTCATGAAAGTGTGGAGGCCTCCATGGACTGGGTTCCCCTGGAATTTTTATCTCAGATTTGTTCACACAGTCTCCTGGAATTTGTCAGCTATAGTTCAGGTTCTGGGAGGTTTCTGCGCCAGCAAGCCAGGACCCTCTGCATTTGCCTGTTGGTCTCTCCAATTTGAGGGGACAGTGGTTTTCTCTGTGACCCAGTCTGTATGACAAATCTAAGAAGAGTCGTTGGTTTTTCAGTTTGTTCAGTTTTTATTTGATAACTTGGAAAGATTTGAGCACTTTCCCTATATAATTTTATTAAAATATTTTGACCTCTTGGGTCTATCCCACCATTCATCATCACTTGGGAGCTATGGAAGATGTAACTATAAGCAAAAACACATGTTTTAAAAGCAACTTCACTGAGTCTCTACTATGTGCAAACATCTGCGCTGTGGATCATATGCAAGAAAAATTCCCTGAAGAACTTGGTAAACTGCAACCATTGCATTCATTCCAATAACTTACTACTGATCAAAATCTATTTCGAATTTCTTTTCTAGCATTCCTTCAACTGTGGAAATTGTCTCTGGTGGACGAATATTTTTGAACGCCTTCTATACAGGTCCCATAAGTGGGATCTGACATTTGATTTCAGAAACAACCAAAACCAAATCAAAGGCAAGTTGTTGAAGAAGGTTTGGATCCAATGAGGCGACACTTTTTTTTTTTTTTTTTTTCTGAGACGGAGTCTCGCTGTGCCGCCCAGGCTGGAGTGCAGTGGCACGATCTCGGCTCACTGCAAGCTCCACCTCCCAGGTTCCAGCCATTCTCCTACCTCAGCCTCCCGAGTAGCTGGGATTACAGGTGGCTGCCACCAGCCCGACTAATTTTTTTTTTTTTTTGTATTTTTAGTAGAGACAGGGTTTCACCAAGGCAACACAATTTTTTAACACTGACTGGTTCTCTGGTGTGGCTATTAAATTTCTCAAGGCAATTTCAAAAGTCATTATTAAAAGTCAAACTGCTCAAGACACACTATTGGTTGGACTCGCAGCTATATGTTATTTTAATCTAAAAAGTCATAATAGGACTTGCTTTATTCATTGTCTAATTACCTATACTTAATAGTAAGATTGATCTTTTCCCTGTTGGAGAGCAAAAGGCCAAAGTTAGGAAGTGTGTTTCAATCCTCCCTAAGTTTACAGTACATAAAATACAGTTTGATATCCTTGGTTTAATTTACCTTCCCTTTCTACCCACCTCCTCTGACACACTGACATGTTTTCTATTATTTAAACTCATTCTATTATTTAATTTATATTATTTAAACTCTATTATTTAATCTGGCAACTTCATACCAGATTACCTTTTCTTCCTAGAGTTTTATTCTGTTTCCTGGATTTTGGGAAATGAGAACGTACCAACACTGACTTTCCTTAAAATGGGGTTTGTGACACCATAAAACATCTCGTTCAAGCCAACTCCACTTCCAGCTGCTCTGTTATGGTGTTCTGAGCCAGTCTGAAAAAGAATCCTTAACAGCGCTACTTCACAGTAATATGCCCAGATCAGCGAATCACATTTTGCAAAGTGTGCACTTTAGATTGTAACTGAAAACGGGGATGTCTCCCCTGACTCTGGCATGATTCCAAACATCCGAAATGTTAGAACATGTTGCTTTTATGCTGAAGCATCACACAATTGCCAGAGTGCAGAAGGGCCTTGTCTCCACTACTGCTACTTTAGAGAGAGGGGGGCAGACAGAAATGGCTTTCTGTAATCAAATATGTCTGCTGGGGTGACCGGAAGGGTAGGGGAGCAGAGGAGTGAGTGCCAGAAAGACATCATTCAATTTAGGCATCTTCCACCTGAAAATAATGGAAGAGGACACTAAAAGAACATTGTAAAATCCCACCTTTTTAGGCTCTGAGGACACCTAAGAACTGAGCAAAACGCCATTCATCATCAGGGTTAAAAAGTCACATTTCTTGGTCTCTAGGATGAATCCCTTTGGGCTAATGCTTGGGACCCTAGGATCAGAAGAAGAGTTCTTGATCCTAACCTAAAAATTAAAAAATCTCTGGATTGGATGCTTTTTTAATCTGATTTCTTCCTTCCCTTTTTTAGTCTGATTTCTAGAGCAGCTTTCTCCCAGATCATAACTGCAAAAAGTCTGTTCGTTCTTGATAAATATTTAAAAGATCATGAAAAAATGAATTTCCTACAACTCATTGCCACCAGAATGACTTTTAGTATCTCAGGTCAATGGGGGAGGGTGATGGGAAGAGATGTCACTGATTTGGGGTAGGCAAACAAGGTCGACCTCCTATCACTTCATTCATTCATTCAGTCGACACACATTTACCAAATGTCGACACACGTTTACCAAATGTCGACACACATTTACCAAACAACCACTGTGCCCCAAGCATCTAGGAAGGTCTCCTGGGGAACTACACACTCTTGCACTGCTCCTAGGAGGCGCCCTCTCTTTCCCTTTCTGTTTCTCTCTCCCCTGACATTTCAGGAATCCCAGGGGAAAATGCAAACGCGCCAAGAGAGCCTAACTCAGAGAAAACATGACTAGTTCCAACAGAAACAAACTAGGCCTAAGGTAGGTTTCAGGGAAGGAACTCAGAGGCTGGAAAACCTGGTCTGCCACCGCCCGGGAGGGTCACTTGGACGTTCTGAGCCTTGGTTTTTACCATCTGTAGAATGGGTGGTGTAATAAATTATCCCTAAAGCCCCTTCCAAACTTCAGCTTCTAATTTTCGAAGATCCTAACGAGCCTTTGTGCCGCCAGAGTGCAGAAAAACACTGTTCCCATTACTGCGCGCTGTGCACCCTTAAAAAGCATCGCGTGGTGTGGTCATTCCAAACACAAACATACATACACACACACACACACACACACACACACACACACCCCTCAGCCTCCTGCTCCTGATTATGTGTTTAAAGTTCTTAGGGGATCCTAGGTTCGCAGTATAGCTCGCAAGCTATACTGGATCCCAGTATAGCAAGTTTTCTTTAATTTTAGGTAGAATTTGTTCATGCACTACTTTCGCACTGAGTACTGCAGTGGAGTCAGCTTCCTTTCCAAATCCCAGGCAACAAGAAAAATCTTAAGTAAAGACAGAAGCTCTCCGTTGCCTTGGAGAGAGGGTAAGGAGCTAGTAAGGGGCCCCATGATGAAAAGAACCTAAAGCGGGAAACGTTGTGTTTTCCTGCTCAGTCAGAGGGTAATGCTGGCTCCCTAGGGCTATGTCCGGGGTTCTCCAGTCCCACGCCAGGGCTCTGCTTTCCCGACCTTGCTACTGTGATGCCCCGGCCGGGAGGCAGGCGGTGCTCGGGTACAGCTGTGGTGCTAATCCGGGTGCTGCGTGTCAAGCCCGCACAGTGAGGCCTGTGGAGAACTGAGACCCCAGTATCCGCAAGCTCAGCCTACGCAGGATAGCGCTGCCCTCTAGCGACTATAATGGGACATGCAGCGCGGCTGCAGGTTCTAGCGACGGTAGAAATCCGCCCTTTGCAGAGGGCGCAGAGGGCCGGGAAAGCCCTGGGACCTTTTCCCTATGTATGGGACCAGGAACTGTTTATGGTTTCCCCCTAGGTCTAGGAGAGATAGATGCATAGGTGGATTGGATACATCCATGGCAGATGTAAGGTAAGCAGACAATGGGCACCGATGGAAAGGTGGACGACGGATAACTGATGGTTAGGAACACGTTTTGAGGGCTTGCTATAGTGCCAGGCACAAGGCTAAGAGATTTTGTCCATTATTTCATTTGATTCTCTCCAGAACTTTATGAATGGCATATTACCTCTGTTCCTATTTTTCAAATAGGGAAACTGAGGCCTCAGGCAATGTAAGCAGCTTGCCACTTAGCAATCTTTTGCAGAGCCAGGAAGCGGGAAAGCGTGTCTTAATGGACAGTCTCAGCCTCCACAGTGTGCCCTCGGCCCCCTCCCGGTGGAGATGTTCCAAGCCCTGGCGTCCCGGGTAGGGGGTCCCTCATCCTTTCCTCCCCACCACGCTCCTGGCGCGCTGACATTACACCCGCCCCGGCACCCCCTTCTCACTCATCCAACACCCCCAGGAAACCCTGGACAGCGCTCTCAAGGCAGTGGATCTTCGCCTTGGGAGCCCTGGGGAGCTGGATAAACACGGATCCTCTCCCACAGTGGCTGAAAAGCGCGCAGTGCCGGAACCTGAGGGTTTACCGGCTTCTACGCTTGGCCAAGGGTCTCTCTAACTGGAAAGGTGAAAATTCTGTGCCGAGATTTTAAGATTCCCAGAAAGTTTCAATTGTTAAGTTTCTGTAACCATTAACTGAGCGCCTACTGCGCACCTTGAAGCTGTTAGATGCTGCGGCAAGGAACTCGGAGTCAACTGTGGGGGACAAGCGGGTCGATAAATGACGACATTCCGAACCGGACGGCTGTGCTTGGTGCCCACGGGGACCCCGAGGGGGTCCAGGGAGGAGGCGGGAAAGGGGCAGGTTCATCGGCCCGCTGGGTCTCCAGCACATTCCAGAAGTCTAAGCCAGTCCATCTATCCTTCCAAACGCCTCCACCTCGCTTCCCTCCTTGGAGCCCGCACCCCACGGTGCAATTTCAGTGACTTTATGCGGAGAAACTTGATCCTATCTCACTCTCCCCAAACTTCCTAACTGCCTTGGGTTTGTCACCTGGCCGTGTCGGGAGCCACCGAGCGCCCCCCGTGGCCGTCACCCTCGGTGGGGGAAGCGGCGCGCGGGTACTGGGGGACCGACCCCTCCCGCGAAGGCGTCGGCGCGGGGCTGGCGTAGGGCCTGCGTCAGCTGCAGCCCGCCGGCGATTGGGGAGCGCGCGCCTCCTTCGGTTTGGGGCTAATTATAAAGTGGCTCCAGCCGCCGTTAAGCCCCGGGACGGCGAGGCAGGCGCTCAGAGCCCCGCGGCGACGCTGAGGACCGCGACGGTGAGGCCCACGTCCGCCAGCGCACCCAGGCCCGCTCCTCCCCGACGCCCGTCCTCCTCACCCTTGCCTTCTTCTCTTCCCTCTAGAGTCGTGTCTGGAACCCGGCTTTTCCAATTGGCCTGCTGCATCCGAACAGCGTGAACGTGAGTGAATTTGCCCGAAGCTTGTCTTTGCTGCGCGGGTTTGGGGACGGCTGCCCGCCCTCTTTTCCTTCACATTTCATTGCATGGGTTCCCCAACCGCGTTCTCTGGTTCTTCTTTGTGACCCCAGTCAATGTCCTTCCTCCCCCGGCGCCCGGTCCCTCGCCCTGGTCTGCGGCGTTCTCTCTGGAATCTTGCCCTGGGCCGTGGACGCCCAGGAAAAGAGTTGGGTGCCCCCAGGCAGCCTCGCGTTGGGGGCGACCGCGCCATCCCGGGAGCCGCAAGGCGATCTGAGTCGCCTCCAGGTCTACCTGAAAGCTGTCGGCCGGGAGGGCGGGGCCCCAAAAAGGAGCATTCCTGCGGGCTTTTGCTCGACGATCCCTTGCTGAGGCTGTTGTGGCGAGGGTCCTGCAGAGGTACCCGTTCTGCGCCCAGACAGGCTCGAAGCACGCGTCCCTCTTTCCTCGCAGTCCATGGCGTGGTTCCTGAGACTCTGCCCTTGGCTGCTGTTGCTCGGCCCCGGGCTTCTGGCGACAGTGCGGGCAGAATGCAGCCAGGATTGCGCGACGTGCAGCTACCGCCTGGTGCGCCCCGCCGACATCAACTTCCTGGTGAGTGTTGCGCGCGGCGAGTGTTGCGCACCTTGTGAGACAGAGTCTCCGCAACAGTACGCGGACAATCCCAGGCCCACAGCGGGGCGCGTATGGCGATTAGCACCGGGTCGGAACCACAGCGGCGCGAGCCCGTGGTAACCTGGGTGTCTCAGGCGTTCCTGGAACGCTGACTGAAGTCCTGCCGTGGCTGTTAGCTTCGGGGATCCGCGACTATTTGGGGACCGGTAAGGGTAGCGGTGTCGCCACAGAAACCGAGTTTGTTTTAACCCTGGGAATTAGGGAACCCCGAGAAGTGCTCTGTTCAGCACCTCGGAGAGCACTGGGTTCTCTCCTGAGCTGTCAGAAGGAAGATGCTGTCACCCCAACTCCTAACATATCCCAGTTAAGGGCCCCTCCACACGCAGCCATCTTTCCATCTTTCCCGCAAATAATGTAATTTTTTGTTAGTGACGTTTCGGCGCCTTTCTTTAGATTTATGTATCCCAGCTCTCTTAACCTCAGGTCCCTCTTTCCCTACCCTCACCTGTAAACAGGAGAGAGCAAAGGGATGGAAACGGGATACGGGGAGAGGAAGGCGAAATAACCATAGACAGGAAAGAGTTCATAACTGTCTCACTAGCCAGTGATGCTGGAATTCAACTTCTGTTTCGACTGCCCTTTTGTAATAGTAACTAAAACAACAGTTTAATTTGGCTGGGAGAAAGGAACAAGAGAAGTGGCCAGTGTCCAGTGGGTGACAACAGTCCAAAGATACACTACACTACAGGAGGTTGGGAAAGAAAAAGCTGAGGACAAAATCACTTTTCATTCTGATCTTGGTTCCCCATGGGCTCTCGAATCACCTCTGGTGCTCTACTGAGTCTGAATCTCCAACCGCGAGACTCAGGTAGCTTCACTTTTACCAGCTCCCCTGACAATTCCTTTGCATTGCTTTTGAAATTTGTTGAAATTTTGTGATGACTTTAAAAGCTCATAGAGAGTAATGTATTCATCCAAGCTGCTTTGGGTTCCACGTGGAATTGAGGAAATTTTACCTTATGTAGATGTTTGAAATGGGGAGAAAACCAAGGAACAGGTTCCAATTATCTGTGGTATATATTTCAGGTTAAATGTTTGTTTGTTTGACCTGTACTAACTTGGCATTAAAGAGAAGACACATAGGAAGGTTGTATATTTATGAGAAAAGTGTTTCATCTTCAATAGGGGAAACCGTCCCCTTCACCCATCTTTCTTCTTTCTCCTGTAGTCATGAGCTTTTAACCTATGTCTAAAAATTGAGGAAGTGCTACAAATATAAGGATAGATCTTGTGGGTAAAGAATTTTAGGCACAGAAGGAGAAAGAGAAACCCAAAACATGCCATATATAAGACCCCACTTTCTGACCCCATAATTCCCTGTGCCCAGTCACACATATTTTGAGCTTTGCCTGCTCAACATGTGGGGGGCTAAGCCCCCTCCCCTAGCTTTCTCTGCCATCTGAATAAAGGTTATATGGATTCTAGTCTAATTTTTCTAATCACATAGTCTGACCCCAAAATAGTATCAGATTTACTTAAGTTATGTGAGTTAGTGAATTAATATGGCTGACATTTAATAATGCCTATTCAAATGGGATTTTTTCATATTTAATCTGCTTGATTCACCAAGCTCCCCAAATGCTACTAATCTTCCTTTTGCATTGTTGAGGAACTTGAGCAGAGCTCACTGGGTAGCAGCTAGGCCTTCCTTGGGTATCACCTCAAATCTTGACTTCTCTCCTCTCATCTTCCTCTCATCATGTAACAGGATTGTGGGGGAGGAGAAGAGGAAGGCTGCTCTTGCCAGAATTTTCCTCACTGCTTTTTATGCTCTTGTTGTTATCACTTATTACTATTATCATTACTTGAATCCAGGTGATGGAATGGCACATGTAGTATTAGCAACTTGAAAAAAATAGATAATAAGCAGCCATCAATAAAAATAGTCTCATAGAAAGGCATTTTGCATAATAACTGATTTGCATTGGACCCTACATTCAGGGTTGTTATTGTCTCAATGACAAAAGATTTACTTAGTGACTGTCTCACTAGGATTACAGCACTCTGGGACTTTGGCTCAGATGCAAAAGGCATGTGAGAAATGAGGTTGCCTAGCCAAAAATATGTAGTGAAATCAATGTTAACAAATATTTATTGAGCTTCAACCATGTGAAAGACACTTATGATTGGCACCGTGGTGGATGCAGAGATGAGCAGCCATGCTATGGCTGATGTCCAAATAGAATTTCCCATCTAATGTGATTTTGACCATACCACACAAAGTGTGATAAATACCACAAAACAGGCATACATGGCTATAGGAGCCATCAGTTAACATCGCTGCCTTAGTAGGAGTGCATTATTCTGGTATTTGTTACTATTTGGTTTTGAAGGAATCTCATATCACATACATTTAAAAGTCTTTTAGTATTAGTATGCAAAATATTCAACATTAATTTTTAACAACAAGATCACTTAGATACAATTTTAGAATGGAAATAGTATTGCCCCTTAAACATCTTAAGCTTTTAATGGTGTTTTGATTTCTTCATCATATGTCGGGAATAAAATAAGACATTTTAATTATTAATAGATCATCTTTAGATTCTTATGTAGTTATATATTTAATCTTCTCAGACACAAAGCTTAAATACGCATTAAGAACTTGCTAAATATGTGCCCTCAAGATTTTGTTGCACTAATAAAATGCTTTCTTTCACTGTGAAAATAATATATGTGTATTTAACATCACTTAATATACCAGTATATTTTTAAATATCAAGAAAGAGCCTGGCCTTTCTGTCTAAATTAAAGGTCTGTAACCTGGGCAGTCTATAAGTAGATTTCAGAGGGCTATAAAAAACTCCTGAAATGCTAAGAAACATCATGCGTGTTTTGTAAATGTTCACATATTAGTACTCTATCATACCCAAGTGATCTGTTAAATAGAAAAAAAATCTTAACAAGGTCATTCGAATGTGTAGACTTACAATGATTTTGAATTTAATATTTGTATAAGAAAAAGGAAAGAATGTATACTGATGATTCTTATTTTATCAAATACCATGATTTCCATTGGAAAATACTTTTTCTGTACAACAGTGACTAAATGTGAAGAAAATAAACATGAATAATTTGTGCACTTGCATTTGTATAATTTTATATCTGACCTCATCATTACAGACATTTTGTTCAAGATAATAAAGTCTGTTGTATCCAGCAAGGAAAAAAGGAAAAAACAAAAAGATCTGTACTTTCAACAAATTAGCAAATTAATAAGAATGCAAATAATTCATAAGATTTAAATTGAGTTTTTAGGATGTCTGTCTTTATAAACTTTTTTGAAATTGTTGTTTTTCTTTGAAGATTGAAAGTATTTGCAGGAATATTAGATACCATTTTAGGTAAAATATTAACACAAGAAAGCAATTGACCCTTATGTTATTAATATTGATTTTATCTGTAAGACAAGAAGATAAAAGGAATTTTGAGGAAATATCCCTGATTAGGTAATAAAAATTTCTCCTTTTTGGTTAAAAAAATCTTAAACAAAATTATATCAGAAGTGGAAAATTATCGAGTGAAATTAAATTGTGAAAGCAGTCAATCTAAGTTAAAAGTAGGTGAAAAAAACTTTTTTAAAAATTCTTTAAAATTTCTATGGCTTTAAAATCCAAAGGCAGATTCCTAACTGGATTCAGTTAACCACCCCCCGCACTTTCCCCTTTCCAAATTTTGTTTCATTTGCATGCTCAGCCTTATGAAAAGTTGTGATAAGAGATTGGAGATGACCTTATTGTAATAAGGGAGTTATTATGTCAAAGCAAGCATATTTTGGTCCACAAAAGTTCATTTACTTAATGAAATCAGAGAAGCCTCTTTTTATCATTACATCAAATTGTTTTCCCAGGCTTGCATAATGGAATGTCAAGGAAAACTGCCTTCTCTGAAAATTTGGGAAACCTGCAAGGAGCTCCTGCAGCTGTCCAAACCAGAGCTTCCTCAAGATGGCACCGGCACCCTCAGAGAAAACAGCAAACCAGAAGAGAGCCATTTGCTAGCCAAAAGGTATGGGGGCTTCATGAAAAGGTATGGAGGCTTCATGAAGAAAATGGATGAGCTTTATCCCATGGAGCCAGAAGAAGAGGCCAATGGAAGTGAGATCCTCGCCAAGCGGTATGGGGGCTTCATGAAGAAGGATGCAGAGGAGGATGACTCGCTGGCCAATTCCTCAGACCTGCTGAAAGAGCTTCTGGAAACAGGGGACAACCGAGAGCATAGCCACCACCAGGATGGCAGTGATAACGAGGAAGAAGTGAGCAAGAGATATGGGGGCTTCATGAGAGGCTTAAAGAGAAGCCCCCAACTGGAAGATGAAGCCAAAGAGCTGCAGAAGCGATATGGGGGCTTCATGAGAAGAGTGGGCCGCCCAGAGTGGTGGATGGACTACCAGAAACGGTATGGAGGCTTCCTGAAGCGCTTTGCCGAGGCTCTGCCCTCCAACGAAGAAGGGGAAAGTTACTCCAAAGAAGTTCCCGAAATGGAAAAAAGATATGGAGGATTTATGAGATTTTAATACCCTTTCCCACCAGTGGCCCCAGGCCCCAGCAAGCCTCCCTCCATCCTCCAGTGAGAAACTGTTGATGGTGTTTTATTGTCATGTGTTTGTTGCTTGCCTTGTATAGTTGACTTCATTGTCTGGATAACTGTACAACCTGAAAACTGTCATTTCAGGTTCTGTGCTCTTTTTGGAGTCCTTAAGCTCAGTATTGGTCTGTTGCAGCTATCTCTTTTTCATGCTAAAATAGTTTTTGTTATCTTGTCTCTTATTTTTGACAAACATCAATAAATGCTTACTTGTATATAGAGATAATAAACCTATTACCCCAAGTGCATAATATCCTTGTAAGTCCCTTTTTCTCCAAGGCTCTCATTTACCTTTGGTTTTCCACATCAATCCTAGACTCAGGAACAGTAGAACCATCTGCTTTTGACGTAATAATCATGGTCCTTCTCTTTCAGCCAAGGTCGCAAAAACATTTTTTATTTAATTCCTCATATATGAAATCTTAGATGAGTAAACACACGGGAGCAAAATAAAATGTATTTTCACTCTCATTTCTGGAAATCAGATACATGAAGAAAACCCAAAGCCTAATAAAGGAGCCAGCTATGCCCTCATTACACACACACACACACACACACACACACACACACTTGCATTTACATCAGATGTGTATGTCTTCTTCAGTAAAGTATTTTAGAAGCTAGTAAGAAATTAAAGATAATTTAATCCAATTTTACAAATGAAGAAAGGGAAGCCAAGAAAGGTTGTGTAGTTGGCCCAAAGTTTCCCAGCAGTTGAAGGATAAAAACAGGATTAAAACCCCAAACTTTTTGTGCCCAGTCAGTATCCTTTTCACTGCAGTTCCTTATCTCCTATCCAGGTCACTAGTAAGAATTGTAAGAACATGGAACTACATCTTAGTCACCATTGTACACCTCTACACTATGACTGTAGCAGATTCTCCAATATTGGATGAATGGATATATGTGTGATGAATGAATGAATTTGGTGACCAGATAATGAGGAGAGAGATTGTGAGTGTTTGTAAGGTAAATCCCCAAAACACAAGGTGCTTATGACTACTTCATATTAATGAGACAACACTCAGATATAAGAAATGTAACTTTTCTTCATTTTACTAACTGAAACAACATACAGCTCAACCCCTATTCACTAAATCATTTTTCCAGGACCCCCACCAACCCTTTCTTTTGTGTTTTTCAAAACATTGCAATTTAGCAACTCAGGAAAGTGGGGGATGAGCCTCTGGTCTGCAGTCCACCAAGGTTGCTGCCCAGATGCTCACTGTGCAAGCCTGTGTGCCCCATCTGATAAGGCAGCTGCACTGTGCTTGGCAGTTTGTTCTCTATGTACAGCCCCACGAGGGCTCGCAGGACATTCGCATGATCATGCTGTTGGGAGACCCATCTTCCAGAATTAGTGCAAGGAATCACAGGGCCCCACACTCACAGAGCCCCAACTCCATCAACCTTCCTGATCCTTGGCAAAGCCCCGGAGGAAAAAAGATAATGCAATTATTATTGATAAGATAATACCATTATCTCACAATGGTACAATATGTATACCTACATATCTCATACAGTATGTGCGAGAAAATAACACAAGTTCACCATCAGACAAATACATCTTTTAAAGCAAGCACAGTTCTTTCTTTTTTTTTCCTTTTTTTTTTTTTAAGAGATGGGGGCTCACTTGGTTGCCCAGGCTGGAGTGCAATGGCTAGCGCACTGCAGCCTCGACTTCCCAGCCCCAAGCGATCCTCCCGCTTCAGCTTCCCAAAATGCTGGAATTACAGGCGTGAGCCACCACGCCTGGCCAAGTACAGTTTTTTATCTAGGAGGCTTTCTTCTCTTTTGCGGAAGAGGTGTAGACTGGGCTAAGGCACTCATGGTAGTTAACAGACCGTTGCTTGTGGCTCCATTTCACCCCCCGTCCCCCAACGCCCCTCCCTCCCCCACACGCCCGTCGCCTCCGCCAAGGGCTGCACGATGCTGGGGGTGGGACAGCCTCACACACTTGCAGTTCCTCATCTCTCTCATGTCTGGCGTAGAATCGGGAACCTAGAGGATGCTTCAAAATTGCCCAGGGGAGGAAGGAACAGAGGAGAGGGGTTGGGACACGAGGAAAGGCGGAAGGGGCAATCGGAGATGACTCCTCTCCAGGCGGCGGAGCGATGCCAACCAAGGCTGTGCGCCCGCCCCGGGCATTACAGGACGCAGGACTCCCTCCTCCAGACGTCCTCAGCAGTAAGTACCGGCGGTCGTCCACAAATCTTGACTCGAGGGGGCTGCGGAGGCCTCACTCTCCAAATTTCTCCTGACCTGTCTGGCCTTAAATTTGAAATTCCAGCATTAGAAGTTTGTTTTCCAACTTTTAAGGGCTTTGATGCTTTTAAGAATTTCCTATTTAAATTCTGAGGGGCCCAGGCCCCCTGGGTTGCTATTCTAAGGGCCGCTAGCCGGACTCTTGACTGTGGCACTCAGTGCATACTCAGCGCAAATGTCTGAGTTCTGAAAACACGAGACAGGCTAAGGTGGGGACTAACCTAGGACTAGGACTTAGGGTGAGATGAACCCAAAGCCGCCGCTGACTTGAGAGGGTCTCAGAGAAAACCACGTGGAACGAGAAGAAGGAAGACCTACAACCTGCAGAGGGCGCTGCTGCTCCATTCCGCGCTCTCCCGGAGCTGGGGCTCGTTCCCACCCACTCAGGCCTCCCACTGCTACCACCAAGCCTGTGCCCGCCTCTGGGCTCCCTCTGAGAGTTCATTTGTGAGCTCTGGGGCCAGGCGGCCTGCATCGAAATCCCAGCTAGCTGTGTGAACTGCAGCTCTCCCTGCCTTGGTTTCTCCTCTGTGCCTCATTCAGTTGTTGTGATAAGTAAAATGTGTTAGGGTGTAGAGTCCTTAAGCCAGGGCCAGCGCACAGCAGCACTTACAGGGTTAGCAGCCATGATTGCTCTTCCACATGGATCTTGGGCTCCCCCGCCCCGCCCCCCGCAAACACCCACTTCACCCCTGGGTCTTTCAGATATTAGATACCATCCATGAGCCTCCATCCTGGTCACCAGGCAGGGGGCTCCTTTCCTGACAGTTTTATCCCATGAGGCAGAAACTGCTTGCAAAGCCACCTCACACTCATCTTCACTTTTTTGGTTTCCTATTACAAACCTGGAAAACTCGTGTAATCAAAGAGTTATCCACGTGTCATTCTGCATTTATCCAAACCACAGAAGGTCCAACACCAAGAGCGAACCCTAATGTAGACTATGGCCACTCGGTAATAATGATGTGTCAGTGCAGGTTCATCAACCCTAACAACTGGACCTCTCTGGCGGGGGCCTATTGATCATGTGGGAGGCTGTGCACGTGCCGGGACAGGGAGCATAGATGAAATCTCTGTACCTGCCACTCAATTCTGCTGTGAACCTAAAACTGGTCTGAGAGACAGGAGAGAGAGTCCAAAAATAAAACACATGAAGACTCTGAGCCTTGAGCTAAAACGATTTCTTAGGAGAAGATAGGGGAGGGGTGTAAAGCTTTGGCCATTTTTATTTATGCGTTTGTTTTCCTTCTTTTCCTGAAATGTACAGAAGCACCCCCGTGTAGATCAATTCATTCATTCAACCAATGAATATTTGATGGAAGAGGCTCCGAATGGAAGGAAGAGCCAGTGCAATGCCTCAAAATGGAGACATGGTGGATTAGTGGAGAAGCAGCAGGATTTGTGAAGCCTTGGACAAGGGCTTAGGGTTTTATTCTCATTATGATAGAAAATTATTCAAGGCTGAGAGCAGGAGAGTGGCAGGATATACTGACATATTTAAACCTCACTGTCTCCCACAAAGAACAAATTTTATCTCTCCTCATTCTCCTGAGAGAAGAATATACTACTTATCTGCCATCATTCTGCATCCGTCAAAACATCTGGGTTTACCTGGAAAAAAAATTCTATAAAACTTTCAGTGTTTTCTAATAAAAATGCAATGAATACATTTTCTTTATCAATGCCTATGCTAAAAATCAGAACTCACAGGGCTCGCCAATAGCTTTGAGAATGAAAAATACAAACAAAACAAAACATGCAATTATATTATTGGCCAGGCACGTGTGTCTCTGCAGGGAGTGCAAAACTCACATCTGCAGGGGAGGTTAGCAATAGCCTAAACACACCCATCCATGTCTCATGCTTATCCTTCTTCTCTTACCTTTTTATCAGGTATAACATAAACACAAAGAGTTCCACACATCATGAGGGCACTTCTCACTGAATTGCTGCGAAGGAAACATTCCCATGAACCACCCTCCAGGGCGAGAAAGAGAGTATCACCAGCACCTCAAAAACCCCACTCGTGGCCCCTCCAGATAACCATTCTTCCCTTCTGCCCAAGGTGACCACCCTCAGGACTTTGAAAATCATGGATTAGTTCACCTGTTTTTAAATTTTATAGACATGGAAACACACTTCCCCCCGACTCCCATCTATTTGGCTCCATATTGGATTTGTGAGATTCATCCATGGTGTTGCATATCGACGTGGCTCATTATTTTTATTGCCACAGAGTATTCCAATTTTATGAAAATACAACAGTTCCATTTCATTGCTTGTGGATGCCTGGATGGTTTCCAGGTTTTGGTTATTGCAAATAATGCTGTTGTAATTGTATGCACTTTATTCTGCCACGTTTTTTTCACTTCATGTATCTTGGCAATATTTCCACATCAACATGTGAGTCTGCCTGATGCACTTTAACTACTGCATGGAATTGTGCCATGTATATGCTTTGGGTTTATTCTTAATAACTCCACTAGCAATTAGTATTTTTCACATTACAAACAGTGCTTCAGTAAACATCCTCCACTGTGTCTCTTAGCATACATGACACATTTCTCCTGGGTACTTAACTGAGAGCAGACTTGCCAGATCATAGGGTATACATATATCCAACTGTCGTTTATAGTGCCTGAAAGCTTTAAAGAGTTTGTACTAGGCTGGGTGCGGTGGCTCTCACCTGCAATCCCAGCACTTTGGGAGGCCAAGGTAGGTGGATCACCTGAGGTTGGGAGTTCGAGACCAGCCTGGCCAATATGGTGAAACCCAGTTTCTACTAAAAATACAAAGTATTAGCTGGGCGTAGTGGTGTGCACCTGTAATCCCAGCTACTCAGGAGGCTGAGGTAGGAGAATCACTTGAACCCAGGAGGTGGAGGTTGCAGTGAGCCAAGATTGTGCCTTTGCACTCCAGCCTGAGCAACAAGAGCGAAACTCGGTCTCGGAAAAAAAAAAAAAAGAATTTGTACTATTTTGGACTT